GTGGGGTGGAGGGGGGATGCCAGAGAAAGCTGAATTTTGTCTGTCGGTGGACTGCAGTTGATGGAGCAACTTCTCGACTGCCATACTGCCATAAACCGCGTGCCAGGATAAAGTTTTACCCAGTTGTTGCAGTTTTCGGCGGTTTTGGCATTGTTTGGTTTTCCTCGTCTCGTTGTTTTCCTTCGCTTTCGATTGCAGCATAGCCTTGGCAGCAATTTGACAGACATAACCAAAAGAGGTGGAAATAAAAGAGGAAATTCTGGTAGCAAAATTGGAACACTCTTTCGGGTCTTTGATTCCACAATGACGTGCATCCTAGAGCTAATCGTAAGTACACCTGCTAAGTAAAGAATATCCATTGACTCCTTCAGCCAAAGACATCTGTCTGCCTTTCTGTACATCCAGTAGTCTGTGATTTGTATGGTAAATGGATTTCGTATATTTATTCCAAGTATTTTCAGCCAGGAAACACATCCTTGATCCATGTTCTCCGTTTCCTTTGAGGCAACTGCATGAATGAATCCTTTCTTTCTGTGTGTCTCCTGTTTGTAGTTTGCAGCTCACTCACATCAGACTGAAGTATCTATCTATCTATCTGTTGAAAACAGCACAAAGTACCTGCTTCAAGGCACTATACCCCTACCATAAAGTGCATTCCGTAGTCAAAGCAAACTGCAATTGTTACGCGGTTGGCCATTGCAGCCACAAGTTGTGAGCGCGGCTGAAACTAGGCTACAATGTTTGAGCCACTGCCAAAAGCACCAGCAGCAGCAGCAGCAGAACAAGAACAATTAGCACAGCCAAAAACTGCCGAACCATAAGTTTTCCTTGGCAAACCGACACACACACACACACACAAAAGGCAGGTTCAGTTCTGCTGCTGTTGCTGTCTGGGGAGCGGTTAGCCAAGTCGAGTACAAGTCCCGCTACGAATGCTGCACCATAACAGATTCCAAGCATATTCCAAGTCTTGGCAGAGTTTCGTCTGGTCTAGTCAAAGCTGAAACTAAATTAATTGTGGCTGAGGGGACAATTATTCTGTCATTTATCAGATGCGAGTAGGATAGAAAGTATCCAACAACTTTTGCTGATCCTCCCTATCTACCCGTGTATATCATTGCTTCTTCTTAGCGACACGTGGAGCACTGACTCTGTAGGTAAACTTTTCTGGCTTCTTCGTGCACTGAAAAGTATATTAAGTATACGCCGTGGCATCCACACTCCCTGGCGGATACTTTACTTTTATATACTTGTCACTGGGAATAATAAATTCCTGACCCCCGCCGCGATACCTACTTTCGCTTCTCCACTCTTCGCCACTCTCCCCATTAAGCAGCCTAAGGTTGAATGAATGAATTTTACTTTCAAGGCCTTTCCCATCGAATTGCGTTGCCGTAGTCGTTGCCGCCGACGCCGCCGCCACGCGAATTAAATTAAATTGTGTGATTGAAGCATAAATAAATTGATTAAATATTTTTTGCCCAACTGAAATACCATAACAGATTCCAAGTAAATTTTGTCGGGCAAAGTTTTTGTTAGATTTTACTTCCTGGGATTCCGCCCAGAGGCATTGGCATTTGATCAACAGGTTTCTGATCCGCTGCCTTTGCCGGAACTCGACCTTCTTGAATGCGTCTTATTGATTCAATCATAAAAATAACTGCAGGATGTTTCGGATTCCTCTTTTGTACTGGCATCCGTCTGTGTCTTGCCCCCGGCTCTGGCTCTGGCTTTGGCTACTGTGTAGTGCATCTTGTGTTTGTATCTCAATGTCAAGGCTGAGCCTGAGCTCGTCTCGTGGTCGTGCCTGCCCTCATTATGTATAATTTTCAATTGCCATTCGCTGGACGGATTGACAATGAAGGAACTGGCAGATTATTCTACATTTGATTGAATGAAACAAGTCTTTCAAAGGCTGAAAATTATCCCACAGACTTACGAGTTCTGGCAATGCCACACTCGGTCATCTTTGCACTGGCACCAGCAGCTGTAATTAACTAGCAATTACCCATCTCTCATAGACGAATATACGAGTACCTTTCGTTCTGTTCTGGCATCCCCACAAAGGAGCTTACCCCACTTAATATGCATCGTTCTCCCGTTGGCTTCATCAACTCCGGGGTCTGGTTCCTTTTTACCTTTTAGGGACTAATCCTGCCACATGCCACCGGCTCAGCCGCATAATGCGTCAAATTGCTAATTAAGAACTGCAGTAGTCGGAACTTTTTCCCTTCTGTTGGTTGGCCCGATTAGTCGCCCTGTCATTAGGGTGACCCTCACACCAGAGAAACGGTTTCTGCTTGCGTGTTCAGACATGACCAGGCGCACATTTGATTATGACAAACACTGACACACACACACACACACACACACACACACACTGAGACACACACACGCAGGAAAGGACCCTCACACACATACCAATTAGCCAAAGGCGTGTCCTTAAAGGCTGAAAAGTAGACTATGTTTTGTGTGTGTGTTATGTGGACTTTGGGGCAAAATTGAACGGCCTGCCACAATTTGTGTCACGTCACAGTCGTAGTCGTAGTCGCAGTAGCAGAAAACCAATTAAGAGCTTAAAGATGGAGCCACATCTGGAGAAGGATTAAATATAGACCGCGTGGAGGCTGTACATGCCTATTTTTATGGTCAACGGCGGGGTCAAGCACATCACCTGGCCAGACCAGACACGGCAGGTGTCCATCAGGGTCTAATCAACCCTCCTCGCTCGATTCGTGCATATTTACAACCTCAAATGTATTTGCGTCTACGAAGCCGAAAGAGTTGTATGCCGGCAGCGGTGGTGTGTGTAGCCAGCCGCAGGTTTTTTTGGAAGACTCAGCGAAGCTGCAATAATGTGAATTGATTTTCATTTGTCAGCTGTAGACAACAACTTCACAAGCACCTCCTACAACCCCCCACAATGGGACACATCCATTTACATCCATCTACAATACCCATTCCATCGGCGCATCTAATGAAATACTCGTAATGAAAACTTTGGAAAAAATGTCGAATTTTACGCCTAAATACTTGAGGAAATTGTTGATTTGATTTTGGCCGCGTGAAAACTTTTTAATTAATTGGCCTCAACTTTGCGAGTAGCTCTAATTTTTGTTATTGCTGCTCGTATGGGCCCCGGATGTGGGATCTTGGCTGGCAAAAAAATAGGCCTTGCCTTGCCAAATGTCAAAACGTGACCCAAAAGTTGCCGCTGTTGGGTTTCCCGGATACGGACGTGACAGTAATAGGTCATGCTCGAGTCGATTCGATTGGTTTCGTTTCGATTTTTGGGCCTGGCTGGCCCCGAATCAAAAGTTTGTTTTATTTAATTTTGATTTGATATTTTTTTTGTGGCCACATAAATTTACCTTCACTTTTGCGGCGTTGCAAGTTGTTTTTTTTTTTTGTATACAGCAAAACTTTAAGTTTTTATTTCAAATTTACAGGAGTCCAACGTTGGAGTGAATAAATTCCTTAATTTGTTATCAATTTCAAGCGGCTCAGTTTTTGTTGATCCGAAAACAATAAAACTTTTCACTCTTATTTTTTAATATACTCTTTAAATGGGGGAAATAATTAACTAAGTTCTATATTTGCAATAAACGAGTATTCTTGTGTTGAATTGTATGTTAATCAATATGCAGTGCAGCCTTGGTTTTAATTAAAATTTAATTTGATTTATGAAAACTTTGCTTGTTAGGCTTCCACCTTCAGGCATTTGTCGCACAATTTGCCGCCGGGAATCACTTTTCGGCTGGCCCATCGCCACCGCCATCGCCTTATTGTAATTCAATTATGATTTCTTTTCAATTAATTGCATTTCAACTAATTACACGCACTTAGCACCTTGGCTGACTTTCAAACAGGACGCGAGAGCGCGCGCTTAAATCAGTAATCGGATTGCTCCGAGGGCTCGTTCCGGTATGTTCCGGTGACAATGCGGCGTATACGCAACTTCCTGCCGCACAGCGTCGCGTTCTTTCGGCTACTGAACGGTCGCTCGGTGGCGACACAACGAAATCAGGCGGCAACGAGACTTTGGAAGCAACAAGCGCGCACGCTGAAAGCCCAGAAGCGAACCTCGGGGGCGCCTCCGATATTGGCTTACCGTTCCTCGCCCACCCATCCCACCTCCTCTCAGCCGTGACATCATCGGGCGGATGGGGAGTGTTGGCTCTGTGTTAGATGCGTAATTAAAATGTCTGCATAATTAAATATGGGAGATTTGGTTTTTATCTATTTGACATATTTATTTATCGCATGGACCGAAAATCCGACGTGGATTTGCGGCAACCACCTGTTTGCCTAACAGTCTGTTAATGGAAGCTTTCTGTTAGCTGTTTAGCTTTTGTAAGCATCTTAACTAAACACGTAACTACAGCATACAAACCATAAAACACATTGCAGCCCTGTTGCTCTGCAAGGCTATTATTTTCACTGAGAATTGGGATACCCTTTGTGGAAGTGGGGAGTGGGAGTGGCAACCGGCAACTCTACGATTTCCTTTTCCCAGGAGATTTCACAGGCTCAATTCACTAGCCAAGGCATTTCTCATGCCACATATAGCCTACTATTAACTATTAACTACGAAAATTAACGACTTAGAATGATCACAGACTGCCCGCCACAGGATGATGAATTGCAAAAGAGCTTTGTCCAGCAGTTTTTCACCTGTTTAAATAGAGGGGGATTAAGTGGATTAAATCACTCATGAACGCAACGCAAAAATGAAAAAATTTCTGCGGTTTTGAAAATTTTGAATTTCGAACGGGGTGTTGGAAAGCTTACAGAAATGGGTATTTTATCCAGTATATTTTCACTGTATACAGTATATACAACATTTACTGTATGGTTCTGCTGTATATACTGGATAGCTGTATATACTGTATGGTTAGTAGTGTGAGAGAGATAGGATGATGAAATTGCTGATGTTATGTCATGTATGTTAAAGCCCGCAATGTTAATTTTTCATTTACCATTTCAGTTTCAATTGAACTAACTAAACAGCCAACGCATCGAAATACAATAAAAGTTTAAATGTGTCCAATAGAGATTTCTCTCGCGTTTTTGTGTTTAGGCTGTTAGGTTAATACAAAAAAAACAAAAGCTCTAATAACAAATAGTAACTAAAACAAAGACAACGATTTGGGCGTCCCCTGCAGATATCAGATAAACAGAAAAAATCACCACGGCTGATGAAATTGGAAGCACGTGGAAGTCAGCATAGAGCAGCAGAGCGCATCGGTAGAGTGAGAAAGCGATACGAAGAGAGCAGAGAGACAGAAACGTTTATAAAGCAACGACCCAACATAGCCGCAATTCATTTATAATTTTGCTCGCGCGGGAATAAGCAAAACAGAAAATGTGCGGAATCTTTGCAATATTTTCAAGTGATTCAAAGCCCATTGCCAGCCAGGTGCTGCATGGCAGAAAGCACAGTCTGCGGGAGATTGCCTACCGGCAGAGCGGAAAGCAGCGGCATCGTGGCCCCGACTCCACTGGCGTTCATCTAATCCAGGAGGATGGCGTGGTCATGGTCCACGAACGTCTGCGCATTGTGGGCGTGGAGCGGGGCGACCAGCCGTTCGTTTCCAGCGATGGGAACGTGGTGCTGGTGGCCAACGGAGAGATCTACAACTACCTGGAGCTGTCGGCGGTGATAGCGAAGCGACGTGGCACCTACGCACCGAAGAGTGACTGCCACGTAATCCTGGAGCTGTACGAGGACTACGGGAAGGATCTGCTGGACCACATAAAGGGAATGTTCGCCTTCGCCCTGTACGACAGGCGCACTAAGCAAGTGCTCGTGGCCAGGGATCCCTTTGGCATCATTCCCATGTACATTGGCTGGGATGCGGCCGGCAACCTGTGGGTGGCCTCCGAAATGAAGTGCTTGGTGGACACCTGTAAAAAAGTCGAGACTTTTACCCCGGGCGAGGCCCGCTTCGGACGCGTGGGAGAGATGGAAACCTTCCGGCACTTTAAGCAGCCCTGGATCGAGAAACTTCCCACCAAGCAATGCGACCTGGAGCTACTCCGCGCCAGCCTGGAGTCGGCCGTGCGCACACATCTTCACTGTCACGTCAACTTTGGGGCTCTGCTGTCGGGGGGTGTGGACTCCAGCCTGATTGCCGCGATCGCCACGAAGATAATGCGGGAGAAGGACCCCGATTATCGCCTGAAGACCTTCTCTGTGGGTCTGCGCGATGCGCCCGACTTTAAGGCTGCTCGCCACGTCGCTAAGTACATCCACAGTGACCACAAGGAGCTCGTCTTCGAGATTGATGAGGCCCTGGACGGTATCCGCGACATTGTCTATCACCTGGAGACCTATGACGTGACCACCGTGCGCTGCAGCCTGCCAATGCTGCTGCTGGCCCGCTACATCAAGAGCACCGGCATCAAGATGATCCTCTCCGGCGAGGGTGCGGACGAGATCTTCGGCGGATACCTCTACTTCCACAAGGCCCCCAACTACGAGCAGTTCCACCAGGAGCTGGTGAAGCGAGTGCAGCAGCTGCATCTCTCCGACTGCCTGCGCGCCAACAAGGTGGCGATGGCCAAGGGCGTGGAGCTGCGCGTCCCCTTCCTGGACACGGGCTTCGTCAACCACGTGATGCAGATCCGGCCCGAGGACAAGATTCCTGGCCAGCTCAACGCTTTCGCCGGAGCCATAGAGCCCTTGAGGCTCATGGAGAAGTACGTGCTGCGGGCTGCCTTCACTGAAAACTATCTGCCGGACGAAGTGCTCTGGCGCCAGAAGGAGCAGTTCTCCGACGGCGTTGGCTACGACTGGATCGACAGCATTCGTCATGTGGCCACCAGTCACGTGGGCGACGAGGATTTTGCCAAGGCTGCCCGCAGATTTCCCTTCAACACGCCCACCACAAAGGAGGCGTTCTACTATCGCTGCATCTTCGAGGAGCAGTTCCCGGTCGAGTCGGCGGCCCGCACTGTGGTCAGGTGGGTGCCACGCCTGGATTGGGGCTGCCCGGAGGATCCCTCGGGTCGCGCACAGGCCGTCCACCAGGTCAATAAAGACTGATTAAGTTTAAATTTAATTTAATTAAGTAATAACAGCATTTTATTGAAACACAATGCAATGAGGAACACGAATCTATATATATATGCCGACAGACATATATATACCTATACCTACAGTTAAATATATATAAACACACACGTGTGTCGAAACAAATTGTATCACTTGATCTTTATTGTAATTGAGGAGGCTTCTATTTCATTAAAATATTTTTGCAGCTGTCGTGTCTGGCGAATGTGCTGACACATGCGATTAAATCTGATGCCAAGCCGTTGCCTGTTGCCGTACATATGTATGTACGTGAGCCAATGGGAGCAGCACATGTTATGCGTTATCTATAATTATAATTGTATTACTCGGGGTAACGACATAAGTCCAAACTGCGCGGCGATATGTCGCGCGGAGATATGTCGCTATTACTCACTATGTGAGTGTATTTGCTAAAACAACAAAGAAAATTAACGAAATGGGGAATCCCATTTTTATTTTTAAGTCCACCCAATAGTTCTGGAAAATTCTAATATCTGGGAATGCTAAAACAACAAAGAAAATTAACGAAATGGGGAATCCCATTTTTATTTTTAAATCCACCCAATAGTTCTGGAAAATTCTAATGCTAATGGGAATGGAATGCTAATTTCCTATCTTGAATGTATTCAAATTTTTAAATTTTTAATTAACCATTAGCTTTATAATAGCTGGTCACACCATCAATTTAACAGCAACTTAGATATGCGCCTAACAGCACATTCCTATGCGCTTAACAGCACCATGTTAAGGTTAAGTACTGAATAACACAAAAAATTTCAGTACTGTACAACAGTAAAAAGTGCTTAAAAGTGTAAGCGATTGTGTATTTACCATCTCTGGAACTAGTTCATTTTAATTTTTTTCGCAACGCAACGGGCTGGCAAATTACTTGTTAAAATTAAGTAAAAAGTGTATAGCCATTAAACGAGCAGTGTCAAAAACAATACCAAATGCCAATACGCAACGAAATGTGATGTTTGCTGAGCTCAGCAGACGCTCAGCGACCGAGAAAACAGTGCAAAATTCCTGACCCCAGAGCGCGTCACCGAGGAAAAAAGGTTCATCAAAGCAGAGAGGCGCAGAGCCAGCAGAAGCAGAAGCAGGCGCAGCGCTGCTGAAGACGTTGGAATTTGTGGTGTTGTTGCTGTGGAAGCCGATGCTCAGTCGACGCCGACGCTGACGTCCAGGCAATAACGGTAGAGACCCAACAACAAATGACAAAGTGAAACTGACTGCGCTGTACCAAACACAACAACAACAGCAAAAACACGATAAAGAAGAGAAGAGCAAAACTGTGATCTCTCGGTTAGAGGTGGGGGGCAATTGTTCAATTGGCTGTGCTTGAAAAATAAATTTAGTCTACTTAAAACGCGTATTTGCGGGCATTGCGAATCGCTTGTTTGCCCAGCGACTGGAAAATCAATTCTTCAAATTGCCTTTGGTGGCCATCAAGCAGCAGTTGTTTGTTTGCTAGGCCCAACCCAAAAACAATATTCAAGAGCGGAGCGAAGAGTGACGACAAGAAGAAGCAGCAGCCGAAGCAGCAGCGCAGTCAACGCAGCCGGATTTGCGAATAATAGAGGTATGTGTGTGCGTGTTCGTGTGTGTGTGTGTGTGCGTATCGACAAGATAAAAAGATTTTGTTAAAAAAAGACCTACTGCCTAATCTCCAATCGCCTCCGCTTCCGATTCACGCTCTCATGTGACATTTAGAAATCAATTCGGTTGCTCTCTCTCTCTGCTGTCGCAGCAGCGCTGGCAGCATTGTCGCATGACGTCGACAACAGCAGCAGCAGCAGCCGATCGTGCTGGGCAGCGTACAGGCCGGCAAGTTTTTAGTGTGACTGAATTGGGCAGCTGTTTTTACACCTAAAATTTGATCGGGCTAAATAAAAAAAAACCTCTACCCTCTCCCCACTTTGTTTTGTTAATCAAAACTACTACTTATATCTTATCGCACACATGGAATGAATTCAAGGTAAGAAAAAAACAGTTACGAAAGCCAGTGTTCGCGGGGCCACATCCCTCATTGAATTGTTTGTTGATGTTTATTTATAAATAGAAAATTGCGTATGCAATGCTAAATAGTTATACGCGCTCTCCCGCCGCTGTCCCACTCTCTGCAGCTCCGACTCTCTCTGTCTTTCCCTCTCTGAGCAAAGCTAACAAGTCGCTGTCGTGGATTGTTGTTGTCATCCAACAATATTATCTCATTTTTCTATAACTTACGTATCCATAAATATTCTCGCGCTCTGGCCTGTGGCGGCGGGCGCACGCAAATTGTTAAATTGTTGAACAGTGACGCCCGACCATAGACGGTGGGACGCTGGCGTCGCTGTCAGCCATCGTTTTGCCCAAAAAGTACTCGTATCGTAAGCCAAAGCTAAATCCATATCCGCGGCATGTCTGAGCTTCCTGCCCACCCAGCCACCCACTGCCCGTCACTCCCCGCCTGGCTTCGTCACGCTCTCGGGCGTCCGTGAGATGATTCACGTTTTGTGCCGTAACAACGCCCCACCGCTTATCCCCATACTCCACCGCCATCTGTCGGCTATGCTATCCCATCCCTGCCCATCCCCAACACCCACTTCCACCCGCACAACCTAATTCACCTACTTTTGTAGCAGCTAAATGGTCTCTCCACTCCACTCCACTCCACCCAGCCCTCCCCTTGCTGTCCTCTATCTGCTCTCTGACTTCATCCATTCTCCACACAGAAATTGTTGCCCCTTCGCCGCTTTTTGCGACTGCCACTGGCGACTGTTGCTGCTGCTTCTTCTTGCATCTCTAGTGCGCGCGCGCAATGAATAATTTGAATGTGTTGAAAGAGGAGATGTGCGAGATTTGGCGGGAACATAACATCTTCAGCCACTGCATCACCCAACCGGACCATTTTTATGGCCTCGTATCCTTGAGAACCTCATCTATCCCTGGCCTCCTCCCCATACTTGAATAATTAATGCCATTTACCAAATACTGCAGCTAAAGCCTACATTTTTTCCATCTTGCCTACATTTCAGTTGCTGCATCGACGTACAACTATATAAAGATGGCCTACCGCAAGCCCAGCGATCTGGATGGGTTCATCCAGCTGATGCCCAAGGCGGATATGCGGGTGAAGGTGCAGCTGGCGGAGGATCTGGTCACATTCCTGAGCGACGACACAAACTCAATTGTGTGCACAGACATGGGCTTCCTCATCGACGGCTTGATGCCGTGGCTGACGGGCAGCCACTTTAAGATAGCACAAAAATCGCTGGAGGCCTTCTCGGAGCTGATCAAGCGGCTGGGCAGCGACTTTAATGCATACACGGCGACCGTGCTGCCACATGTGATCGATCGCCTTGGCGACAGTCGGGACACGGTGCGCGAGAAGGCCCAGCTATTGTTGCGTGATCTGATGGAGCACAAAGTGCAGTCGCCCCAAGGGTTGATAGACAAACTGGCCGTCAGTTGCTTTAAGCACAAGAACGCGAAGGTTCGCGAGGAGTTCCTGCAGACGATAGTGAATGCACTGCACGAGTACGGCACACAGCAGCTGAGTGTGCGCACCTACATACCGCCCGTGTGCGCCCTGCTCGGCGATCCCACGGTGAACGTGCGGGAATCGGCCATACAGACGCTGGTGGAGATTTACAAACATGTGGGTGATCGCCTGCGGCCGGACCTGCGGAAGATGGAGGATATGCCAGCTGCCAAGCTGGCTCTACTCGAGCAGAAGTTCGATCAGGCCAAACATGAGGGACTGTTGATGCCCTCTGCAATGAAGAACGGCAATGGCAATGGCAACGGCGGGGGACTCGATGAGGCCGACAACAGAGAGACGCCGAGGGAGAGGCCTCCCACCAGGATAGTGAAGCGGCAACTCTATTCGTCCGCTGTCTCCAACCTGAGACAAAAGCCGAGCGGACCGAGCGATGCCGGAGATGCGGGAGCTGTCACGATGGAAATCTTCGAGTCTAGCTTCGAGGTGGTGCCTCAACTGACGATATTCACCGCCAAGGATATGGACGATGCATATAAGCAGATTCTGGTGGTCATCAGCGATAAGAATTGCGACTGGGAGAAGCGCGTCGATGCCCTGAAGAAGATTCGCGCCCTGCTGCTGATGAACTACCACGCCCAGCCGCAGTTTGTGGCTGTTCAGCTGAAGGAGCTGGGCCTGGGCTTCCTGGACATCGTCAAGGAGGAGCTGCGCTCGCAGGTCATACGCGAGGCCTGCATCACCATTGCCTACATGTCGAAGACGCTGCGCAACAAGCTGGACAGCTTCTGCTGGAGCATACTGGAGCAGCTCATCAATCTGATACAGAACAGTGCCAAGGTCATTGCCTCGGCCTCGACGCTGGCCCTCAAGTACATCATCAAGTACACGCATTCGTCAAAGCTGCTTAAGATCTACACGGACACGCTGCAGCAGTCCAAGTCGAAGGACATCAGATCGTCGCTCTGCGAGCTGATGGTCCTGCTCTTCGAGGAGTGGCAAACGAAGGCCCTGGAGCGGCATGCGACCATCTTGAGGGACGTCCTCAAGAAGTCCCTGGGGGATGCGGACAGCGAGGCCCGGAGGCATTCCAGACGAGCCTACTGGGCCTTCCGGCGACATTTCCCCGATCTGGCCGATCAGATCTACGGCAACCTGGACATTGCCGCCCAGCGGGCCTTGGAAAGGGAGCGGGGGGATGTTGGCAGCGGCGGCATAGCCGGTTTGGCTCCACCTCAAGCGGAAACACGACGGACGGTGACGCGCCTTGGACGGACTCCGGGCGTACTGCAGAAGCCAACGCCCAGCATGCGATCCATCTCTGCTGTGGACACTGCGGCTGCACAGCGGGCCAAGGCCCGGGCCCAGTACACGCTCTACACGCGCCAGAAGAAGCCAGTGGGTGCAACGAACTCGACCAACTCCGCCCAATCGCAGGGGGGTTTTGGAGGGGCGAGCAGTGGATCCCTGCCACGACCTCGCCTGAACTCGAATAGTAATAGCCACACAGTTGTAACGCCTGGAACGATTACTCCGCGCACCCGGGGACGCGCAGGAGTATCGCAATCGCAGCCAGGATCCCGCTCCACCTCGCCCAGCACCAAGCTGCGCGACCACTTTGGTGGCGTGGGCAGTTACTACCGTGGGGCGACTGGGGCCATACCCAAGAAGGCATCCGGGATACCCAGGAGCACGGCCAGCTCCAGGGAAACGAGTCCCACACGATTGGTTGGTGGCAGTGGCGGCGGCCTAATGAAACGCAGCATGTACTCCACAGGATCAGGCGCACGACGAACGCCAGAGCGGAACAATCCTGTGCGACCCTCGGCAACGGCTCGGCTGCTGGCCCAATCCCGCGAGGCAGAGCATACGCTAGGCGTGGGGAGTGTCGACGGCAGTGAGGGGCAAGCGGACTTTGTCTCCGGAGACTACATGCGGGGCGGCGGCATGAGGATGGGGCGTAAGTTGATTGTACGGGATGAATCCGCGGACGACATTGATTCGGAGGCCAGTTCCGTGTGCTCCGAGCGGTCATTCGACTCCAGCTACACGAGGGGCAACAAGTCGAGCTATTCGCTGAGTGGATCGCACACCCGCCTGGACTGGAGCGCACAGAGGGCTCCGCTGGACGACATTGAGACGATCATACAGTACTGCGCATCCACCCACTGGTCGGAGAGGAAGGACGGCCTGATCAGCCTCACGCAGTATCTGGCCGATGGCAAGGAGCTCTCGCAACAGCAGCTGCAGTGCGTCCTGGACATGTTCCGCAAGATGTTCATGGACACCCACACGAAGGTGTACTCCCTGTTCCTGGACGCGGTCATAGAGCTGATTCTCGTGCACGCCCAGGATCTGCACGACTGGCTGTTCGTTCTGCTTACGCGGCTGTTCAACAAGCTCGGCACGGACCTGCTCAATTCGATGCACAGCAAAATATGGAAGACCCTGCAGGTGGTCCACGAGTACTTCCCCACGCAGCTGCAGCTGAAGGAGCTGTTCCGCATCATCTCGGACACCACGCAAACACCGACACCCAAGACACGCATTGCCATTTTAAAGTTCCTCACGGATCTGGCCAATACCTACGGCAAGGGCAGCGATTTCCCCAGCGACCAGAGCACAGCCTGCGAGCGGACTGTCCTGAAGCTGGCTCAACTGTCGGCGGACCAGAAGTCTATCGAGCTGCGCTCCCAGGCCAGGTGCTGCCTGGTAGCCCTCTACCATCTAAACACTCCCGAGATGACAAAGCTGCTGTCCAATCTGCCCAAGGGGTACCAGGACTCGGCCCGCTCCTGCATACAGTCACACATGCGGCGGCAAAGCAGCGTCAATTCTGGGGCCAATTCCCCCAACAGCTCCCCCCTGAGCAGTAGCAGTCCAAAGCCTCTGCAGAGCCCCTCGGTGGGGCCGTTCGCCTCGCTCCAGAGCCACCAACTCAACATGAGCTCAACTAGTCCCCGCAGTCGGCAGTCATCGGTGGAGCAGGAGCTGCTCTACTCCTCGGAGCTGGAGGTGCAGCACAACATCCAAAAGACGTCCGAGGAGATACGCCACTGCTTCGGCGGCCAGTACCACTCGCTGGCGCCCAATGGCTTCAACGGACATCTGCAGTACCACGAGCAGGTCCAGCAGGACTCGTGTGCCTCCCTGTCTTCCAACTCCAAGACGCAATCGTCGGCTAACACGACGCAATCGAACACCCCAGAGTCGGCCACCATGCGGCTGGACCAGCTGGATAGAGGCAGTGTCATGACACAATCGACGATGGCCAAGTCCCCGCTTCCCACTGGCGATGCCAAACTGATTGTTTCCATCAGCAGGGCCGATAACGGGGAACTGATTCTGCCCGGCGATCTACTGGAGAGCGAGGTGGTGTCCGTTGCCCTGACCCTCAGCAAGGACCAGCCAGTGGAGCAGCTGCAGACGGCGCTCACCAATTTGGGCATCTGCATCAAGGGCGGCAACTGTGAGCTGCCGAACAAGCACTTCAGGTCGATTATGCGCATGCTGCTGAACATCCTGGAGGCGGAGCACACGGATGTGGTAATCGCTGGCCTGCATGTGCTCAGCAAGATCATGCGGAGCAACAAGATGCGGCACAACTGGATGCACTTCCTCGAGCTCATACTCCTGAAGATCATCCAGTGCTACCAGCACAGCAAGGAGGCTATGCGGGAGATCGACGCCATGATAGTACGCATAGCCCCATGCCTGCCGCTCGATTTGTCAATCAACATCGTGAATCCGGTGATTGCCACGGGCGAGTTTCCCACCAACCTGTGCGCCATTAAGATCCTGCTTGAGGTGACCGAGCACCATGGCGTGGAGATCACAGACACCCATCTGGACGTTGTGTTCCCAAATTTGGCGCGCTCCACGGACGACCAGGAGTCCATGGTGCGCAAAGCGGCTGTCTTTTGCATTGTTAAGCTGTACATTGTGCTCGGCGAGGAGAAGGTGAAGCCCAAGCTGACGGCGCTGAATCCCAGCAAGCGGCGGCTGCTCAACGTCTACATTGAGAAGCAGCGAAATTCAAGCGGCGGCGGCAGCTCCACCAAGAACTCCTCGGCGGCCTCATCCTCATGATTGCGGGCACACTCGCCGGCCCGTCAACACAAAGACACTGACGCACCGCCGTCTCTTAGCATACGCAGGCAGTGAAGGACGAGGGAATGAATGGTTTAATGATATATAACTAATGATATAACTAATTATTTATAACTTTAATTCTTACTGATGATGATACGAGTATATGTATTGTAAAAGAAAGCAACAAATCCCCTTCTAAAGTGTCGACAGATCAAACTAATTATATTATATAATGCAAGATCAGGCCCAAGTGTAGTAAACAAAAAAAAAACAAAACAAAATAAGAAGAAAAATCTATAGCCAACTGTCACCCAACTGTCACCCCTCTAATGGCCACTAATGCTAATGCTAATGCTGTGCTTTTCCCACGTTCACGTTTACGACTGTATACCCTAAAACCCTCGTCAAAATTATTTATAAAATGATTTACAATGGCTTTTTCCTAATATACCATGCTTTGTATTTTAGTTCCATAAATTCTCGTGTCCTTGTTTCATTTCTGCTCAACTGAATTCTAATTAATTTACGATTATAAAACTGTTTTCACAACTAAACTATTTTTGTAATTAATTTAAAAAACAAACAAAAAACACATACACACAACACAACACGAACACAGCACACAAAACAAGAACAAAAACAAAACAACAATAAACGATTCTAGGTTATGTAATAATATTTATAAATTAATTAAACGAATAAAAACAGTTAAACCGAAATACCAATCCCCCGAAATACACACATATGTACATCCAATATCATAGACAAGTACAAGGTACAAGGATTTAAGCATTTCGTTTTACCAACATCCTTTTGCTAATCATTTTTTGTGTAATTTATTTCATAAAATTCAAACTTTCAAATATTTATTTACACACGGACTTAATTATACTAAATACTTGTGTTCTTATTCCTCCTGCTTCTGCCTTTTGTTTTGTTGAAGAACGATTTTGTGAGTGGGTTTGCCTACAGGGTTTACTTTCTGTTTTCGGGGTGAGTACGTGAGTTCCGTTACACACGCGTATATGTATGCATTAACTAATTTTAAACGCTATTAAACATTTTTGAATGTTGCTCGATGTGTGTTTTGGGGGTATTCTTTTGCTTTGTTCGCTCGCTTTCAAAGATTTGAAATTTATTTTGGGCCCATTTGAAACCTGAATTTGTCTTTTTTTTTTGTTTTTTTTTTGGTTGTTTGTCTCCACTGTGTGAGTAAATCATACAACACAAATTCGATTATGTCGGTTGTATTTGTTCACGCACAGATAGATAGATTATACAATACAATATTCGGAAATCAAGTAAATTAAGGCACTTAATCGAACAAAGAAATCAATTCGAAAAGGGAATACGAATTCGTTTAGATTGCTAGTAAATGGATAGAGTACCTACAAACATGTGTAGTTATAAATTTTGCCAAGTACAAATTAGTGCGGTGGTTCAAGTGTATGTGTATCTGTCTGTATGTGTCTGTGTGTGTTGCATTGCTTTAACATTACAATAACTATCCGGGCCTGTAGCCTAGAGTAGGAGCTAAACTTGAATTTGTATTGTACATAAACGTAATTCCTAAAATATTAATGGTGTTTTTGATTAAAGATCGATTTTCAATGGCACATCTCTTTTAGCTAATTGTAATTGTGTTCTCAATCTCGTTTTTGATGTTGTTTGGGGCCGAGAACCGCTTCAAGAATTTTGTGCCCAAGAATTATTTTGAATCTTCAAGCGGTTCCTCCGTGCTAAATAGATTTTTGTTGTTGTAAAGTTGAACAACTTCTCGACTGACTGAATATTCAGCTTTCTTATGCCTACATATTACATATACGAAATGCATTTGTATGTACAGTGGGACAAGATTTCAGTTTCGATTTAAAATAGATTGAACTACTTACTTACTTACTTACATACTCATTTGATTATTACTTTACACGTAGACAGACGTTTTGCTAACAATATTTTGGCTTCTTTGTTTCTGGTTTCTGGTTTCTGGTTATTCTTGAATTTTGACTGCAATCAATGCGGACAGTACTCCCCCCCGCCCAGCAACAAAAACACTTCTCTGGCCAGGGGGGGGCCGGCCTAAATCATTGTCGCATTTTGACCGAAAAAGGCACACACAGAGAATTTCGAATGACAACGATTTTGCACGACTACAACAACAACACTAACTCTAATCTAGACTCCTCTCCCATATATCGATCTATGTATCTATGTGTATGCATATGTGTATTTAGTAGCCATTGCAGCGTATCTCCCCATATCGGTGTCGTGGCCTGCCCGCTCCGTAGGCCGCATATCGCTCATACGCCATGTAGTCCGGCATTTCGTAGCCATAGCCGCCGTGTCCGCGCATACCCCGATTCCGTGCATGGGCCATGTGCATGTGTCCCTGGTAGCCAGCGTGCTGCTGCTCCTCGTAGGGATGATAGCTGTGTGGGGGCGCGGAGGGGGGCTCGTAGTAGCCCCCTGTGGTGTAGGGCGAGAAACTGCTGTTGCTTGCTGCATATTCCTCGGCCAGCCGCTCCACCAGCGACTCGGGTGTCTGCAGGAACCTCTCCGAGAAGCGACCGATTTCGGTGGAGCCAAAGGCCTGCAGGAAACCCGGCAACGGCTTGATGTCCTGCAGGTATATGAAAATTAAAGTTAAATTGTTTTGCTAGCTTACAGGGTTGCTCTGCTCACCCTTATCTGCTCTCTGACTGTGGGCTCCATCGACTCCAGCTGTTCCTCGCCGCCGGCTTCCCTTTTGCTAGTCCTTCGTTTTGATTTCTTGCTCGGGATGAGATCGCATTCCATGATGCGATTGCTGTTGCTAATGCTGATGCTACGGCTCTTGGCGGCCGTTGTCTGTCGCTTATGGCTGCTCGGCGACTGCTTCTGCTGCTGCTGGAACAGGGGAGCCAAGCCTGGCGGAACGCTGGCTGACTGGCCATAGCCCACGGGCGAGTTCTGTGGCACGGGCGGAGTGCGCGAGCGTCGCGGCGATGTACTCCAGATGTTGGACGCTGTGGCTGGCGGCAATGGATGTTCCTGCTGCTGCTGCTGTTGCAAGTAGAAAATCGATTTAGTTTTTCAGTTTGCAGTTGCGAAAGGAAGCAACAAAGTTGTTACGCTCAAGTGGCGGGCACTTGAAAAACTTTTAGCTCCTGGCCCCAGCTCTAAGCCCCAATCCGAGAGCCGGCGCGTGCTCGCTGATGGCAGCTCATGTTACCAGGCCACCCCTAGGACCCCCAGCGCACCCAGCACCCCTAAAGAGGATAGCCAAGCCAAGCCAAGCCTCACCTCGCGCCATCTCCAGCTCCAGTCATAGTCATAGTCGTCGCCAGCCGGGTGAAGTTCAACGTAGCGCCCCAAAAATCAATAGGCGCCCCTTTTCACATACTCTTGTACACAGCGACTGGCACAGACACCCTGTAAAAAGGCTTCCGGCCGTTAGTCTCGCTTTCTCTCTCTGGGAGAGCTTTTTGTGTGCTTTCTCTCAGAGAGAGAGAGAGAGAGAGATAGAGAGGGCGAGTGCGAGTGAGAGACTCTCTCGGATGAAGTGAGTGCCTAGAAAGCCGGTCGATGGAGCTAAACGCATTTCGCTTTTGGTCTTCTCTTTTGGCCCTCGTCTGCTGCGTAAAGGATAGCGAGGAGCGCTTGGAGTGGGCTCTGTTGTTGCCAACGCAGTCGAAGCTGTCATTATCAGGCTCTCGTTGCTCCGATGCTTTGGCCTAATTTATCCCGGTGCGTGGCTCCAATGTGGAGCATAATGAGCAGAGCAGGCCATGCTGCATACAACCAGAAGCCAATGCGGCAGCAATCCCCTACAGCACTAATTGGAAACCCAATCAGGACGGGTCGGATAGGATCGGGTTGGGACCACTAATCAACCCCGGTAGCAAGCAGCAGCTGCTGCAGATTGCTGCTCCTGCAGTTTTAATTTTCAATTTGGGCGCTTCATCGCTAATTTGATTTAATCCCCAACTTACCCCTAGTTCTGGCATTTCCGCTGCATCCTCGCTGATTGGATTACTAGGCGAACCCCGCTCTACTGCATCCTGCGGCGTTGGCGTCGCCCTTTCAGCTGCCGTGTCTGCCTGTGCCTCGGCTCCTGCTGCTGCTGCTGCTGCTACTGCTGCCGTCTCCTTGTTTGGCTTCGCCAAATTGATTTCCATACGCCTCGGAACTTCCGACACGGCGGCAGCTGTGGGCGTCGGAGTCGCCTTATCAATGCTGGCCACTGGCGGTGTTGGCGGCGACGCTGACTGCGCCGCTGTCGCGCTTATGTCATCTGGAAAACAAGCAGATATAAAAGTATAGAAGCCGTCAGTCAGCAGAGCCCCGCTCGGAGGGAAAATCAATATTGCTAAAAAGATTCCGTTTAGGAGTTCCGTTCCCCATTTGTGATTCCTGGGGCCCTAATTATTTTGTCATGCGTGCGGGCGTCAATCAAGGGTTAAAATTCATGGATCCATTGGGGCGGCACACGCTGACCAGTCTGGCAGCGAGCGGAGCCACGCGCTTATCAAATATTTTTGCTGTGGCTGTTGCCACCGAGGGGGTTGCCTCTGAATTGAGCACGAGAGAGAGAGAGAGCGAAAGAGCGAGCGTGTCATGCACTTGTTGAACGTGCTACACACACACATACACATTTTTGCGCCAGTTTGCGTGAGCGGCATAGCAAAGCCACAGCCGAAGACGTAGCTGAAATCAACAAAAACTGTAGCGCACTTTTCGGCGCATGCGACTCGTGGGGCCCGAACCCGAGCCGTGTTTACGGTTTTGACTCTTTTGACTGGTTGGTTGTTGTTGCTATTCCCGCTGCTGTTACTTCGATGCACTTAAAGTCGCAATTAAATGTGGCAATAAATCAATTTTTGGTGTAAATTTAAGCGGAAATTGGATCCCATAAAAGTAATAACAGAAAAGTTTATTTTTTTTAATCTCTGTTTTCTCAGAGATTGAGGAGAATATTTGTTCGATTGGTGGATATTTACCTACGATCGATAAGTAGTTTCCTCGACGATTTTTATTTATAATTTGTCCGTCAATTTATTTGACATAGCGGCCATTGATTTTTGCCCTAATATGAGCACGAGTACTCGTATGTGTGTGGGAGGGAGCGAAGCTATTGCTTGGGCCCTGGCTATTGCACTATGCTCCAGAGTGTGGCTGGCTCTCTAATAGCAATAGTGTGTGTGTGTGTGTGTGTGTGTGTGTGTGGGTGGGTGGCACCACCAACTACAACCACCGCATTACGCTGTAAAGTTCATTTACATGCTGGCTGTGATGACATTTCACTCATACAAACAGAGACACACACAGAGACGTAAAGACACCCCTTGAATACCCTCCCGTGGGTGGGCATGGCTGTGGGTGTGTTTGTGTAAGTCAAACGTCCATTGATAACGAGGAAGCTCCACACCAAACATACATACACACACAGCAGAATACGTATATATATATATATATATATATATTATGTATGTACATATATATACTTACACTCGAGTTCGTTTGCATTGCGAAATATTTAGAAGAGCTGTCATCCGTCCGGACGGTGCTGTGTGCTGCTCGCTGCTCGCTTCTCACCTGTGGGTGGCTTCGTGGCTCCCAGCCAACATCCAGAGCTAACTTATTGATTTCGCACACACAGCCAACGAGAAAAACCCCAAAAATTAAAAAGCGACTCATCACGGGGGAAAAACACGTCGCGTGCCCAAATAGACAGCTAATTTTTGCGAACCTTTAAAGCGCCATGACGTAGGCTCCTCACGCTCCTCCAAGCCAAGCCACCCCTACCGCTGTGCCACCCGCATCGGTTGTAAGTCAGGCTGTCTGGAAGCGGAAGTATTTCAGCAGTTAACCAACGCTGATTGGTTGAGTGTTTGTAAAACGTCGACTCGGCAAGAGGTCGTTCGGACCCATCTCCGTCTCCATCTTCGTGCTGGCGGAAAAACCTGACGGACATCGCTTGTCAGGCGCACCGTCGTTGACGACACTCCGGCCATGCTGTCAACGATGACGGCAATGTGAACGGACAGTTCTTGCATTAATTTGCATGCAGAATCAGGCATAGCACTGGCCCGGGCACAGTGGGTGCGATAAGATCTGTCCAATCCGTTGGGAGAATGTTCTACTGTGGATTTCAGTTCTTCAAGGGTTTCCTGCCCCACTGTGCCATGCCCAGTCGATTTCAGTGGAAGTAAATTGCTCCCCTGCTGCCACCCCATCCCATTCCACCCCCTGGTGGCTGACTTTAATACTTGTTACATAATCTACCCTGCCTGACATATGTTTGCATAAATTTACCAATACCCCCTCCCCCTCCCTCACCCCACGCATAATTGAAAATTAAATAGAGTGTAAGAAAAAACGTTGATAAAAAGCTGACAACTTACCCGGAATATCGAGCGGAGTGGAGCTGGTCTGTGCCTCCCTGACACTTGCCACTTTTCTCTCCTCCAGCTCCGGCTCCGATTCTACTGATGATTGCTGCTGCTGTTGTTGTTGCTGTGGCGGCTGCTGCTGTGGCGGCTGCTGCTGAGGCTGCTCTTCCTCCTCGTACTCGGCAGGACAGTGGTAGGGCACACAGGATGCCGACTCCACAGACATATTCACCGGATACTCGCCGCTGTAAACGGGCGTGCTCTGGCTGCTGTCGCTCCTGGCCCGCGTGCTGCAGTTGCTGATCCCGCTGTCGGTGCCCGTGGCGCTGATTAGAGGCGGCGAAGTGGTCAACCTTTGTGCGGGCGATCCTGCCTCCACCTCCAACTCTGCGGGCATCGATTCCTCCAGCTTTGGTGTGGCAGACAGCGGCAGCTGTTGGTGCTGGTGCTGGTGCTGGAGCTGATGCTGCTCGGGGTAGCCACGGATTGGCTCTAGATAGTTGGGCGGCAGAACTGTTCGATTGGGTGCTGGTGTTGTGGACCGTCCTGGCGGCGCGTAATGGGGCGTGGGTCCCGGGTAGCCTCCAAAGCCTCTAGCCTGTCCGTAGGCTGAACTGGAGGCGGAAGAACTGTACAGCGAGGGAGGCGGCTGCTCGTAGCTGGACTGCTGCTGCTGCTGCTGCGGCTGATGCTGGTATGGATGTGCCTGGGGATGCGACCGGGGCGGATAGTGCAGCACGCTGGAGGGGATCAGCTGCTGGCCAGCGGGCGTGAACATTCCCTGGTGCGGATGCGCGTGCGGCTGGCTGTAGTGGGGCGAGGCATAGGCGGCGTAGCGATAGTAGTTGGGCATGTACGAAGAGCTGGCCGATCCGTAGCCATAGCCCCCGGCATAGGGATGGTAGCCGGAATAGCCCGATCTGTAGGGTTGCGGTGGGTAGTGCGACATGGCAGTCTGATGGGGATACGGATGGGGATGATGAGAATGAGAGTGCTGGTGGTGATCGTAGTAGCCGGCCTGGTATCGGTCCGACATGTTCTGAGCTTCTACTTGGCGAAAGTTGGAAATTTCCCTACCTATTGGCTACCAACGCGTAGCAACAACAAGAGGCCAGTGGCCGTGGTCGTGGTCGTGGTCAGCCCCATCCCATTTGCAGTGGCTTCCATATTGCCTGGTCAACGTCGTCGCTGGGGTGTCCTCTTACATGTGTCTCTTATTGATTTTCTTTCAGCCACCTACACCTACACTGCTCTGCCACTCCGAAATCCTTCCCCCCTGCTTATCCTTGTTTGCAGCTATTGTTGCGTCCTGTCCTTGTCTGCCTTGGCCACGCTTGGCTGCCTTTTATTTATGTTTGAATCAATTTTCGCCACACTTGCAGTTTTCTTTTGTCCTGCAACGAGAGCGAAAAAGAGAGAGCAAAATGGGTTTGTTTATTATCAGACGAAAAATAGTGCTGCTGAGGCGCAAGCAGCAGGGCAAGGAAATGGAAATGGGTCCGGGATTTGGATTGGGAATGGAAATGGCCATGGCAATGATTGTGGGAAGATCGTTAAACAGTGGGCCTGCCCACAGCAATAATGAGCGAGAGAGAGAGAGAGTGTGATAGACAATTCAATTAACGTTGGACCAATAACTTTTTATGCTCGAGACGTGGTCTGGTCTGGTCTGAGCCCTTGCCAAAGTAAGATAGCAATGGGATTAACAGATAAGTGAAGCAATTCAAGAAGTGCTCTAAGTCTAGCTAGGCAACATTCAGTTACAATTTATCGTATTGTATAGCTACTGTGTCTGTATGTAATCGAAGGAACGCAGGCGAAACCCTTGAAGCAACCCAAGTGCAATCCAGGCATTCCATATGCTAATGAGAGGCAACAAACTCGCCAAATATGCCGACCCTGTTATTATGTAGGTATAAATGTGGGGGTGGCACTGCCACTGCCACTGCTGTGTGTGGCTGCTGAAGATGCCCGCTAAGTGGCGGCTGGAGAGTGGCAACGCAACTGCCGGCTGCATCTCCTGATGAGCCATGCGCAAAATTTGGTTTGTTTTGCACTCACGCACGGGCAGCAGCATTGGTGAGTGGGTGAGTGGTGGGGGTATGGGTGGGGGTGGCACCAACTGCCACAACAGCCATACAGCCACTCAACTTATCGAGCGCATCTCCCCAATCTCCCCACACATGCACCCACGCCTGAAGCATGCACCATGCACCCCATGCACCCATACATTGGATGAATAACCGCATGCATTTTGGCCGCATGCAAGCCGTTAATGAGCCACAAAAGTGCACACACATCCAGAGCAGAGAGAAGATGAGGCTGGCCATTGATAAGGGGCAGGGAAAGGCGAGATGGCTGCAGGGAGACGAGTAATAGTCGTCACCAGAGCGTCTTTCAGCAGCTTCACTCATACACAACAGGACATTACATCTATGTGTGTGTGTGTTGTGTGTGTGTGTGTTGTGTGTGTGTGTGTTGTGTGTGTATATGTACATTTGTTGGTGTGCGTCTGTAAGCTTGCGCTTGACGTGTGCGTTTATTGATTAATAAACTTTTTGCGCAAAAAAAAAGAAGACAAAAACAAAATATAATTGAAGGCAATTGGAGGGGTGTGGGTGTGAGTTTTGGGGGTGTGGGTGGTGGGTCCGGTTGGTAGTAGGCAAAATTTATTGATTCGCTGATGACGATGATAGTGAAGATGATGATGATGATGATGTCCTGGCAGCAAATTAGCAAGTCAGGAGGGTGAGTCGGAGGTGTAGGCGGAGGACAACTCTATTAGCAAAGTCAAACAAGGGGGCAGAGAGTGGATAACATAATCAATGTAAACACAAGCTCGCCAACAGAGAGAGAGAGAGAGAGAAAGAGAGTGGGTCCACGCTTGCCGGCAGAGAGCATAGTGGAGAGTGAGAGAGCTTCAGTGAGAGGGTGAGAAGAGAGCGAGAGAGCTTTTCACGCTACTCAAAAAAGGGTTAGGTGCGCGCCAAAGGAACAATGTGTGTGAGCCGTAAATGAAATGAGCCTCGAAATACGTTAAGCAACTGCAATCAGTCCAGCCAGGGTGGACGTGGACCCGGACCCAGACCCGGACCCTTCTCTCGCCCCAGACTGGCGCGCCACTCTCTCTGGCACTCTCCTGCAGCAACGTCGGGTGTCAGAGGGTGGTGGCGGTGGCAAGTGAGCAGCAGGAAACGGAAGTTGAGCACGAGGTAGAAATGTAAATGGCGAGATGCTGCGTGTTCCAAACACACCCCTTACTGGTGCTGGTGCTGATGCTGCTGCTGCTCCTGATGCTGGTGTCGGTGTCTCCATTTATGTATTGGTGGTTTCTTTTTTTCTTCTTCTTCTTCTTTTTTTGCTCTTTGCTCTGTTTTGGGACAGTGCGACACAACAGTAGAAGCAGCAGCAGCAGCAACAGCCTCCCACTGTACCCGTACATAAATCAATAAAAACAGCAGCCAGAGACGGGTTTTTGGTCTGCCACTGCTGGCCGTGCACGCTCGACGTTTGTGTTTTCTGTACTTTTGAATTTCAGAAGCAGCGCCAGCTCCTGGTGGGTGTACAGTGTGTACACCCACCATCATTACACGGGTCCTGCGTCACGGCACACGCTGCGTATGTGCAACGTGCCCGTGCCCGTGCCCGTCCCTGTGCCTGGCGGGGAGGCACTCGAGCTCGAGCTGGCGAATATGGAAAGCGACTGAATGTATGCAGTGCAACTTTCTGATTTTAATTGAGTTGCTGCCCCTGCAGCTGTCACTGCTTTGGTCGATGATGGAGATGGATTTCAATAATTGGGGCAGGATTGCGTGAGCGTGGGTGTGTTGCAACAACTTCAACACTTGAATAAATAAGAAAGACATATATTTTTATGAATACTATTTACCAATTATGCAAAACGAAAATCCTCTCTTGAATGTTTTTTTATGTTTTATATTTTAAAGTTTATTTTTTGTAAATTTGTTTAAATGTATTTCCGTTTAGTTGTGTTGTTGTTTGCTGGACTTCAGTTAATTTCACATCACGAATATCTTTGATAAACTCTCGCTTCCGTTTTCACATGCCACAAAATACCGTTACATTTTCAAATGTGGCTACAATAACCGTTCACAATGGCCCTGAAGTACGGCCAGCCACACTCTCTCTCTCTGTGTTCGACTACTCTCGAGGAAAAAATCGAAGAGCAGCCACCAGGGGCGGCCCAAATGATCAGCTCTGAGGCAGAGCAGAACAGAACAGAGCAGAGCACACCACACTTCCCAGAGTGCCGCACGGCAGCGGTGGTGTTGCTCTGATAAAAAGCCTACGCTGCTGAGTGGTGTAGCCAAACGTTACGTATACGCAGCATGTGTGGCGCGCGCGAAAGTCCGACGTAGACTGAAATGCGATACGCTGGCGCGTTTCCATTTATACACCGAAGGCCCTGCAACACGGCGAATGGCTAACGGGAGACCGAAGTCCCCAGTGGCAAGAACAAGAAAAGCTGGCAAAAGACGTGGTGGCAGCAGCTGAAAAAGGAGCAAAAAAGACCGAGCCAAGCGAAAACGGAAAACGGCACAGCCAGCTCGCAGCTGCATTGGGTACGGAACCCCGAGCACAGCAGAGGCACATACTCGTTCCCGTTCTCGTACTACGAAGTAGAGCTATGTGACCCGATTCGATGGCAAGCTGCCACATGCGCGGGACAGCTTTCCGAGCATCAAATCGAGAGGAGAGTGTGGTTGCACTTTGGGGCTGCGGGCGCTCTCTCAAATTTTTGAATTTATTCACTTTGCTTTGCTTACGAATTAGAGCACAAAACAGAAACCAAACAAAAACAGAGCGGAATCTAGACCGTTATGTTACTTGCAATGAGAGGAGGCAAGAGAGAGAGAGAGAGAGCGACAGAGAGAGCAAGTGCGCAGGGAAAATGTTGGCTAAATTCCCGTTTGGGGGTTTCCCACGTTGTGAACGTGAATGAGGCACACACGAGGCACGAGGTATGTATAGGCTCGATTTATCGATGTCCGGGATAGCCATCAATATGTAAAGCCGTAGCACGCTTTCCGGGGCAGCCACGGACAGAGCTTTAAGCGAAGCTATCCGCAAATTATTTGGCCACTGGTTTGGCAGGCCTCGACCCCTGATGACCGATAAGCCAAAAGGTGGAAAGTCAAACCGAAAGATAACACGTGTAAGGGACTCCAGACAGACTATGGGCTGTAGGGGAGCTCTATTGATTATATTTGGGGGTGCAGACATCCCTTGGTTCGCCACTGAAACTTACCAATATATTTCAAACAGACAAGACCGCGTTAAAAGCGAAATCAATTCTTATGGTGTCCCCCCTCTGGCTACGCGCCTGAGTTCCTTGAGAACTCTCCCATCTCCGGGCCACTGCGCAGTCTCAGCTATCTCTCTCTCTCTGTGGCCAAGTGCACGTGTTTGTTGCGGTTTCCGCATGCTTCCGACACTAAGCCCAAAGAGGAAAGCCCTCAAAATATTTGTGGGAGGTGACGGGTGAAAAAACAAAACAAAAAAAAACGTAAACAAAGTGTGCGCACGCAACGGAGGATTACAGTGGGGTAGGATGGAGATGGAGTTAGAGTGGGAGTGGGAGATGGGCGCGAGTCCAGTCGGATCCCAGTCAAGGGTGTTTCTGATATTGATTGTGTAGACAACAAACAGGGTGCTCTGCTCGCAAACAGTTTTTACTGTAGGTCCTTATTTAGAAATAGTCAACAAACGAAACACACAGAATAAAAGCAGATCCAGGATGCACTTGGTGAATCCTTGGCTTCAGCCAAACCAGTGGGCCCCCATGCATTCGCGTGTCCATTCCGTCTGACAGACCCAGCACCACTCGAAGCCACAGCCGGCGCGTGTGCAGACCATGTGCATGCAGCCGCCTGAAAGATTAGAGAAATATGCGGCATGGGATATATGAACGTAAATCAGTCGACTTGCGTCTTGGCTCCATCACATACCATCGCGCTCAGTGGGGGTTCGACATTTTGGACAGGGCTTGGTACTGACTTTGATGGTGACGTTGGTGGCCTCCTCCCAGCGAGCCTCGGCCGCGCGCTAAGAACGCAAACGATTACACAATCAGACAGTGATTTGTGTCAAGAAAATGCTTACATTAGGGTCCACGGCGTACTCGCAGGAGTTGGGGGCACTGGCACTGCCCCCGTTGGGCAGACACTCCCCAATATGATAGCCCTGCAGGCAGTTGCGACAGAACACATAACCACAGCCATTTTGACAGGTCACCTTGCGGCAGTCGGGCTCCACGAGCAATCCCATGCCGCATCCCGGCTGGGGGCATAGTACGCCGCCAGCCTGCAGCACAAACTCCTCGGTGGCGAAGCGCTGATACCGATCGTACTCCTCGCGTGTCAGCAGCTTGAAGTGATGGATTTCCTCGATAAAGGAGTGCTCACAGCCAGCAGGACAGGGGAGGGTGTAGCCAAAGTCCGGATGGGGCATAAACTGTCGTTCGCCGAGGCGCGAACGGCAATATTGCCGAAAACAGTCAATACACGTGACGTGCTGGGAAGCGCAGGGGAAGACCAAAACTGTTTCACTACAAAGGAACAAATAAATGGGCATTTCAACTAGCATAGGCAACAGTCTGAACCGACCTTACATCCGTGCAGGCCAGGCAGGGCACATCTTTGAAATTGCTCTTAATTAAATTGAGCGGTGCTGCAAAGTCCTTTTCCCCGCCCGAGATGTGCTCGGCGCATTTGAAATAGAACTCGGCAAATGGCGGGTCACCAGCCGCATTGTCCACACAGGCAATCTCCAGGCTCTCACAGTGGCCGCGTATGCGTCTGTGCTTGAGCACATCGTCCCAGCACTCCGGATCACGGTGTACTGTGAAGGCGCCTCCCTTGCACAGCGAGCAGCGCACTCGGAGCTTGCCGTTGCACAACTTGTCGCACTGCCCGCAGTGCACAAAGAAGTGGGCCTTGGCACGGACCCGCTCTTGAAGATAAGGACACTGTTTAGTAAGAATTTCCTTGAGGAGACCACCTGTTGCCCACCTTCGTCTGTGATGTTGAGTCGCTCGTCGCTCTCCAGCTGCAAGTCCAGCAGGGTTTCGTTAAGCGGCTTGGAGGCTTCATCCGTCGGTGTCAGTGTCGGCTCTTCCTCCTCCAGAGTCGCTGAAGGAAGTTTCTCCCGCCGTACGGGGGGTCGCATGCGAATCGCGTGCAATATACTTTGCTGGCCCAGATCGCATTGCTACTAAAAGTAAAGGGGATAAGTATGTCGTTAAGGTGTCACCCACTGGCCTACCATTAGTGTTGTTGCGTCACTTAGCTCCTTGCCGGCAAATATGATTTTCACCTCATCCGGCTGCAGTCCCAGCTGCGGTGCCACCAATTCCTTAACATTTTTAATGTCCCATTCCGGGTCGAGGTTCACCGTCAGCGTGCGGCCAGTGTTTGTCTTCACATAGATTCTAAGTGTGTTTGTCAATGTCTTGCCCCCGAATTGCAACAGCTCCAGCATTTTGCGCACCAAAGAGGCAATTAATTCGAAAATAAAACTCATTTGTTATCAGTCTGAATGCAAAATATACCACAAAATACCAATTTACTATTAATTATAGGAATATACCATAAATACAATACAGTCGATGCAGTGTTGTAAAGGTGTTGCTCGCATTATGATATCACAACCAGCTGTTTGTACCGTTTGTTTGGTGCTGCAAAGCGTAAACACGTATTTTTGCGCGCAATTGAAACAAAAATTTTGTATATAGAGCCACAGGCCGTCTGGAATTATTGATTAAACTGGTAGAAATGTCAGGTTTTGTTTATAAAGAGGTGAACGGGGACTTGTTCAGCGTTAAGGCCGACTATTCCATGTGCCATTGCGTGGGTGCCGACTTGCGTATGGGCAAAGGGATCGCTGTCAAGTTTCGGTATGTCCTACATTCTCCTTTGCAGACACACAAAATTAACCATTTCACGCCTTTCTTCAGCACTAAATTTGGTCAGCTGCTGACACTGCAGAGGCAGAATATCCAACCGGGTGGAGTGGCCATCCTTAAGGATCAGGAGCGTTTCGTCTACAATCTCGTTACCAAGCCAACAAGCTGGGGCAAGCCCACCTATCAGCTACTCCACAGCTCCTTGACCGCCATGCGGCTGCATATGGTAGGTGGAAACTATACATAATTTCATCCCCAATTTGTTCACCCATACTGTGCCCTCTTCCCTCTTTTAGATGGCCCACAATGTGCACAAGCTGGCCATGCCCCGCATTGGATGCGGCCTGGACGGACTCTCGTGGATGAAAGTGAAAGAAATGGTCTGCGAGATTTTCCAATCGGATGCTATTGAACTAGTTGTATACAATTATGTGCCAGGTGCAGTCAAACAGTAAACTGGCATCATGTTTTAAATGTAGTAAGTGAACTTTTCTTAATTGCTTGGCGAGGGCACAAAGTTGTAGACCACAATCTCCAGCGGCTCCTGCCCGAACACGTACTCCAGCACGCCGCTGACTTTGTCCCATTCTAAGCCATCGATGCCGCACCCGATGCGCGGTATGGCCAGCTGCTTTACGTTGTTCTTGCGCTGCCAGAGGGGATTAAAGATTCATTAGCACAGAAAAGATCGAATAGTTAGTGTAAGCCACTCACCATGTGTTCGCGCATCTGCTCCAGAGATGACTGCAGCGATTCGTATGTGGGTTTTCCCCAGCTCTCCGGCTTCGTCACTAGATAGTAAATGTAGCGTTTATTATCCTTGAGCACAGCCACCCCACCGCTGGCCGCCTTCTGGGCACGCAGCTCATCGACCTTGCCGTAGACCTCCTTGAACTTCACAGCTATGCCCGCGGCCATGGCCAAATCAGCGCCCACGCAATGGGCCAGCGAGTGAGTCTTGGGAGCCGAGAAGAGATCCCCATCAATTTCGTTGATTTGGTAGCCTTGTCCTGCCATGCCGACCACAAAACCGCGACGAAATGCTTGGCGTAGCTCTAAAAGTTTAGGACAATACATTTTTGTGTGTCGATAATTACAGTTTGGATACAGTAGAAGATAATCAAGTGGGATATTCACAATGCCTACTGTATAGCGAAACTTCTGTTTTTGGTTATGTGCGCAGCTTAGGGCGCCGTAATATTTATTTATTAATTTACAATATAAATACCCACAGAATATGCATTTTCAGGTGCAAACAAAAATCACTTAGGTGTATTATTCCTTATCAACTACATAGATATGCGGCGGTGCATTTGGTGCTACAACTACCATGCAATGCAAACCATTCCATTTCGAGTACATACATATATACAATTCCGATTGGATTCGACCCCTCTCAGAATGGAGTCTTCTCCCGGTGAAGCGACTGACGCGATGCGCTGACTGACCGCGGTATCTGTATGGTCTTCATATGATGACAGGTGGGACAGACAATGTTCATGCTGCCCTTGACCATCTGGGGCGGAGTGTAGAAGAAGGCAATGATGTCCACTTTGTCGTCGGCGAAGACCAGCTCCAGCAGGCTGCGGACACGCAGCCAATCCAGACGATCGATGCCACACCCCAGCCGGGGAATGGCCAGCTTTGTGACGCTGTTCTCCCTCTGAAACGGGGAATTTTCGAGTGAGGATCAAGTTTCGGTCTCCAGTCCAGAGTCTCAGCCTCTTACCATGTGTTCGCGCATGGCCAGCAGCGCGTAGTACAGGGCCGTGTAGGTGCACTTCTCGTGGCTACGCTCCTTGGTCACCAGGTTGTAGATGAAGCGTCCGCCCTGCTCCAGCACTGCCACATTCCCCGTGTGCTTGTGCTGCCTCTTCAGCTCATCCACCTGGCCGAATTTGCAGCGGAACTGCAAGTTGATACCCGCACACATGGCAAAGTCCGCACTGACCGAGTGGACCAGGGCGAAGTTTTCCGGCGCACTGAACAGATTGCCCTTGGCCTCGGTAATCTGACACTTGGGTGCAGCCAGCTAGGAGTTGATTCGATTGGTAACTACAGCTGCAACCATCTCCTCTGAATGACTTACCTCCTTGGACATGTCCTCATGCTCGCAGATGAGAATCTCGATGGGATACTCGCCGTGGGCAAAAGTCTGTTGCATCAGGCGCTTCACTTGCTTCCAGTCGAGGCCATCGTTGCCGCAGCAAATGCGCGGCATGGCCACTTTGGTGATTTCATGATTGCGCTGTGGATCGAATGGCGGCATAAATATTTCGTTGTACAAATAAATTAACTGTACATTGATGCCAGCGTCGACTGGGCGATGCTCTATGGAAAGAGAAAGCCAGCCCATCGTGTTCACACTCACCATATGTTCTCGCATACAAATCAATGCTGCCTGAACGTCCTCGTATGTGGCGGCATCGTAGATGCTCGACTTTGTCACCAAATAGTAGACAAATCGTGCATTGTGCTCCAGCACGGCACAATTGCCCCGCGCCACCCGCCGCTGGCGCAGCTCCTCCACATCCCCGTATATGAGGCTAACCTGCCAGGCGAGGGTGCCGCGCAGGGCCGAGAACGATGACTCAACGGAATGGGCCAATGCATAGCTCTGCGGTGCTTGGAATATGTCCAGTTTCGACTCGATGATCTTCACATTCGCTGTGGCCATTTTGCTGTGGCAGCCACTGTGTCAGCTGCAATTAAACGGAAATTATATTTGATTGTTGGCTGTTGATTTTCGGCTGCTTGCTGGTTGCGTTGCTGCTTGCTCAATGCCAAAAATGAGTTTTGTACTTACGTGCACGCAGCAGAAACGCAGAAACTTTCGCGACGAGGTCGAAATATTCACGATAGAAACTTTTGATGGCTTTCAAATTTGTTTGTTTTGTCTGCGGACTGCACTGGGACGGGACGAACACGAACACGCCAACAGGAAACGGAGAGTCGAGAATCGAGAATCGAGCACCGCACCAAACACCACAGAACAGGCAAACAGGCAAACAGAAAACAAAGCAATTAGCAAGCGCGTCTCGCATTCGATTCTTATGAGAATATTGTATGTGGGTTCAATAGAGTTAGCGGATAGTTTGATGCTTGTTTATTTGGGAGATGTTCGACCGTTTTACCCACTACTACGATTCCCTTCCCGAGCTATTGTTTGATAGAGATTATTAATCAAGAGAGAGAGAGACCCGCTATGGTCTGGCACGGCCGGCGTTCTGCAGTGGAATGCGCTGCGACTGCGAAAGTGCCACCGCTGCCGCCGAGCGAAAGCCCCATCAGGTTCTCCGATGATGATGATGATGGTGATGGTTGTGATGATGACATGTCTGTGCTGAGTGTGTGATGGTGTTTGCTTTTATCGCTTTGTTGGTTTTTGTTTAGTTGCTCTGTGTTGTGGTTGTGTTAGCCCTATGGGCGACAGGTTATCTGGGAATCGTCCAAAATTGTCAAAGTTGCTGTAACGCAATAATCAGCAGTCACTCTGCCAATTATGAACATGTGCAGGCATGATAACCACAGCGATACGATACGTTATAGATTAATGGGTTTAGAACTCGCTGATGCGTGGGCTGGGGCGCTGTCAAAGGTAATCTGTGGCTTGTGTGCTAATAGGGGCAGTCAACCGAACGAACCGTCAGACCTGCCGACTGGCGTTATTTGCTTGCATAAATAAATATAAATATGACTTAAATTATTCGTTAATTGTACGGCAGGTGAAATGAAATATACTCTGGATATACACACTCAGGTGTAGTGCATACAAATCACCATATTTGGTAACTAATTATATTCTAAAACAAGCGAAAAAGGCAGAGCAGTAACAGCAGCAGCAGCAACAACACACAATTTTAAAAATGACGCGCTTCATTTGCGTGGGTGTGTGTCTTTGCTAAGTTAGGATCGCTACACAACACTAGTTAAATGCGTTTCACAGTACTGCCGAAAATATACACAGCTTTTGGCACAAACAACAACACACACAAACAAAAACAACAAGTGGTTGGAAAAATCCATAGTTTATGCTTTTATATGCTTGAATTTAGTCATTTATCAATTAAATAACTGTATTTTGATTCATTTTGTGTGTCTTGCAGTGGTCCAAAAGCTGGAATCGGTTTTGTCTTTCATGAATTTCTACTACGCATGTCACGCGGGTGCTATGATTCGTTTTGTTTTATTTAAATTTCCACTTTTCTATCAACCCGACAACGATGGGGGGCACGTTGTGGAAAAGCGATAGCCACACAGATTCGGATTCAGTTCATGGCAGTTCAGATTGGCGCTTCGTACGACAACGACGACGGCGACGACGAGGAGGAGCCTAAGTTTTGCTGGGATTTGGCGTGTAAATTGATTGGCACTCTGCTGCTGTTGCTGTTGCTTCTCCGTTGATTGTGCAAATTACGTAAATTTGTGTGTTTTTGTTATTAATATTTAAATACTTTACGTAGTAATTGTGTAGTTAGTTGAGGACTTGTGCGGCGTGCCAGAAACATTCGCGAGTCGCGTTTTGGGCAATTATTCCAGAGTAAATCTCCCAAAAGTCTAACGCGGAGAGAGAGCAAGAGATAAAACGTTCTGAATCACTCGGAGAATAAATAAAAAGTGCAAGCAGCGCACGTCCGACATCGGCAGCGGCAGCGACGTCAGCTGTTTCTCCCCCCAACCTCACCATTGGTTGTTGCTCTTGAGACCTTACGTATTACGTAGTAGTTAGTAGTCGTTTATCTCCAACTAGTTTTTTTCGTTTTCGCTCTCTTCTGTTGTGTTCTGTTTTGGTTGCCATTCGTGTGCCTGGTTCTTGCCTGTTGTGCTTTTTGTTGCCTTATTTGTTGCAATGACTTCGTTGACATTGTTTTGCTTTCTGAGACGTTCTGCGGTCACTGGCGACGCGGCATACGCCTACGCCAGTGCTGCCAATCGGCGGTGCGTTCAAACGCTTCAACGGCGCCCCTCCTGTAGGCGGCATGCAACAACAGCAGCAGCAGCAGCGGCAGTCCCAAATGCAAATGCAAATTCAGGCGGTAAGTTTGAACTTTAATTATGCAAACTACGCGTGCAATTGTTGATTTATTATGAATCCCCATCACCTACAATCTCCTGCTCTCGCACTTGTCCCCCCTTTTGAACTGTGGGTGGGTTGGCAACCCTGATAATTTTTCAATATTAGCTTCGTTCTGTCATCTATTTTTTTGCCAATTCTCTTATAATGCCTCCCACGAGTTATATTTAACGACTATAGAAACAAATTTATAATTAAAATAAATTTTTGTTGCTTGACTGTTTTCTTAATGAGCTACAGCCCCAAAAAAACACACACCACACACATAACAAGTGGCTGTTGTATAAGAACAACAAAAAGGGGGCTGGCGTCTCGTCATCTGAAAATAATAAACATTTTGGAATTCGATTCGAAGCGGTGGCGTCGCTGGGTCTTCCACAAGTTATTAATCGCATTTTGATTGCCTCGTTGAAAGCGCATTAGGCACTTCACTTGTTACTCCGATATCGAAAACTGGTTTTGCGTTCAATTGCCGTTTAATCAATATTATAACACCCCCTTGTAGCCAGTGGGGATCGATCAAATATATCCATTACTCAGAACGGTGTTAATGGGCGGAGCAAATCGAGCATACAACTTGTTGTTTACTTGCCCAATAATTTATTGCTTATTGACCGCCAGCACACTCGTCGTCCACCCCAGATTGATTAGAGCCTCCGGGGCACTCAAAATATATTTTGGACTAGGTTAAGCTGATAAGATAAGGAAGGCGACAGACCGACAGTCTCCTGCCGATAGATGGCCGCACAGTTTGGCTAAATATTCAGAAATTAGCAGATCTACAGCTGGCTATTTATATTTCGCCAGTTAGGAAACAAGCCAAGTCGTGTTTAAGCCATTAAGCTGGAAACAGAGTCAGGTTTTGCTCGGACACATACTATAAATGTTCTAGAACTAAGTGGAAGTTCAGGGAATATGTTTGTTGGTCGATCCCACTGCTGGATGGCTCTGGAATACACAAGATAAGATAAAGCCAGTAAAGCCATCACTAAACTCATTGAGTGTGGGGCTTATGTGCACATGTTGTGCCCATCCATCCATCACATTCGCTTTTATTGTGTAAGGTCAACGCTATTACATTCATTGGGGCGGGTACTTCTAGGAAAACAAACCCACGGGCATAGCAATGAACTCTAATTTAAGTGCCCAAGAGTCCCACTTTCATCGCTTCCTACACTTGCTGCGATGTTAATTCATTTCTATCCGAATGCTGATTCAAGCGTACAGAAATACAGAAATAATTTCCATGAGTGAAGTTCAAGGTCATTACCAGGCAAGCAAACACTATGCCAAGACGACGTACTACGTCCAGCCCACACACGCAACAAGAAACAAAAACGACAAAAAAAGAACATACAAATAATAAATAAGCAGGGGAATGAATATATGTGTACATATACTATAGAAAAATGTATGTATATGTGAGTGATATACGTTTGTATAGACTTGCGAGCCCCCCTATAGACGAAAACAGAGAAGCAAAAAAAAACACTAAGCAAAACTTGTTCGAGCGTTGAGAGCCGCAATCTCTTGATATCTTTCCTGCCCATGTGGATGTGCCAGGTAGAAACTGGAAAATTGTATTAAATCTAAACCAAACATTATGCTTATCAGCATTTGTACATACATCAGTCGTCTATCTCGTTCCCGTTCTCTTCGAGTCTGCGGAATTCGGGTTTGCCAAAAGCGAAAAACAAACCGACGCGGCCACCCCTGCTGTTTCCAACCGCCTAGGGCCTATCGTATGCCCCGTCTGTATGGGTGAGAGATTGCCAGAACAATTAGACGACTGCTTATGTCGCCTCTCCTCAGTCCATTTCATTTCCAGTCGCGTATACGCCGCGTATCAGAGCACACACGTTCCGCTCTCCCACCACCAAAAAAAAAGATACCACAAGAAATTCTAAAGCAGCTCCGATCTAAATTCTATCACAGACTTTGCTCCGCTGCTCAGAGGTTCTACCAGAAACATGGCGTCTTCTGCTCCCAAACTGGTGGCCGTTGCCGAGTCCCGGCGCTTCATGATCGACTGCTTCAAGGCGGTGAAGGTGCCCCAGGCCCATGCCGAGGCCCAGGCCGATCTCCTTGTGGCGGCCGATCATCGGGGACACTTCAGCCACGGCATGAATCGCCTGGAGATGTACATCAACGATCTGGCCATCAACTCCACGGACGGCGGGGCAGAGCCCAAGATTCTAAAGGAGACGCCCTCCACCGCCTGGGTGGATGGACTCAATGGTCTGGGCGCTGTGGTGGGCAACTACTGCATGGATCTGGCCATCAAGAAGGCCAAGGCAGTGGGCGTTGGCTGGGTGTGTGCCAAGGGATCGAACCACTACGGCATGGCCGGCTGGTATGCCATCCGAGCCATGGACCAGGGCCTCGTCGGAATGTCCATGACGAACACGTCGCCGCTGATGGCCCCCACACGCGCCAAGGAGTCTGCTCTGGGCACCAATCCCCTCTCCCTGGGCGCACCCGCCACGAACGGTGACAAGTTCCTGCTGGACATGGCGACTACAGCCGTGGCTGTGGGCAAGATTGAGATCCAGCGCCGCAAGGGTGCCGCTCTGCCCGACGGCTGGGCCCAGGATCCCAATGGCAACATCACAAACGACGCCGAATTGGGCTTCAGCACCGGCTGCCTGATGCCCTTGGGTGGATCGGAGTTGACCTCCGGCTACAAGGGTTACGGTCTGGGTGCCATGGTGGACATCCTTACCGGCGTCATGTCCGGTGCCCATTACTCCACGCAGGTGCGCAAGTGGACGCACGCTGGTGCCGATTCGGCGGCAGATCTCGGCCAGGTCTTCATTGCCGTTGATCCCAACTGTTTCGCGCCCAACTTTGAGGAGCGCATGACCGATTTCAATGCCCGCCTCAGGGGTGTTGAGCCGGTAAGCATTTCCACTTCTAACGCCATATTAACTCACACAATAATCTGGGCTTGTTCTCTCTTTATAGACTGATCCCAGCAAGCCTGTTCTGCTGGCTGGCGACAAGGAGAGCCAGAACATGGCGTCCGTTGACGCTGCCGGCGGCATTCAGTATCTGGATAATCAGCTGAAGACCTGCGCCTCCTTGGCAGACAAGTTGAACATTAAGCCGCTGGCCTTTAACTAGCGAGGGAGACGGCGACCGTGCCTCCTCTGTGTCATTCATTGCCATAGTATGCTGGAGAAGCTTCTGCATTTTGCCTGACCAAAGCACAGCGTTATTTAGTGCCTAAGTTCTGACCACATATCCGATCCGTTGGTGTTCTGTTGTAGTTCTACTACATATATGCAACAATTTGTTTTGCCATGAAATATTTGATATTATGATATTAATTACGAGCAATAAATAATAGAGTACAGCTATTAATTGAGCGAAATTCGATGTGGTGTGGTGTGGTGTGGTGTCGTGTGTGATTATTGCTCCATCACTTGCTTCAATGTTTTCTCCGCATCCCACTTGGCTTCCTTGTGGGCTATCTTGGACTTGCAGACATTGCGCGACTTGTAGTCCTTGCACTTGGTGTCGAATAGATGCGGCGGCATTGGCTGATTGTCGCACGACTTTACCTTGACGGCCGATCGCAGCTCTTCGGGATCTTCGGTGACGCTCATGTATTTGATGAAATCTATGTAGCCTTGGTTCTGCTCGGTCAGGCGATGTTTCTCCTCAAGCAGGAGCAGATTTTGGGCCTCGACCATGGCCTGGCGACGCCAAAAGTTCTTTAGCATTTTATTCTGTTCGACCAGCTCCGCTTCGGTCATATCCACATGAGCTTTCATATTCAGTGTTTGCAGTATGAACTGCTCGTCAACATCCCCCAGATCCGTCTCATCGACAATCTCACCGCCCAGGATGACTTTTTCCGTCTCGGTTTGCAGCTTCCGGCAGGTGATCGACAGCGCCAGCAGCAGCTCGCCACTCTTCACGTGCTTTTCCATTTGCTGTGGATTCAGATTGGAATTAAATTGAAAACTGAAAACTGACAAGAGATATTAATTACCTTTATTATTTCGTAGGACTCGCCCGTTAGTATTCGCAGCTTCTCATGGGTTATCTCGCGATCCAGCTCCTGATTCTGCTCGATCTTCTTGCGCACACGCGTAAAGTACTGAAACTCCAGACGAAGATCATTCAGAGTGGAGTTGTTCTCGGCCTCAATGCGCAGCATCTCCCTGTTCAGATCGCCCATTGTGTTGATGCTCTTCAGCTCCTCGTAGTTGAGTTTGCGTGACTCCTCCATGAAGGCCGCCTGCCGCTCGGTTAGCCAACGGATCTTATCGTACTTGTGGGCATCCAGCTCCGTGCTGCGAAGCGACTCCACAAAGTCGTTCAGCTGCTGCTGCATATCGGTCATCCGGAGTACGACCTGATCGCGTATGCGAAACCGATTCTCAATCTCAGCATTGACACGATCGTCCCGCTGCTCCAGGAAGATCGTGTAGTCCTCCTTCAGCTGATCGCGCGTGGTTATGTTCGTGGCATGTATAATGTTTTCGCTGTTCTCGTGCATAAAGTCCACCTCCTCTGTGCGGCGCTGCACCTCTTCGTAGAAGTCCCTCAGCAATATCTCTGCCTCCTGATCGTACATATTCCGCACCCCATCCATCATGCCGTGGAAGCAGTCGCTAATGTGATCAATCAACTCCACAGTCTTGCTGAAACAGCGCACATGGCGATCCTGGGTCTGGGTCATGTCTTCGATCAGCATCTGGATGTGATCGTTCTTTCCCTGTATATTTCTTTCGGCCTTCTCGCCCCAACTGATGATCTCCTCCCGCAGATCCTTCATCTTGATCTCTTTGCACATCTCGTGCCACTCCTCAGTGCCCTTCTGCTCCATACGCTTGCCCATTTCCAGCTCGCGAGTCAGGGCATCCTATGTTAGTTCCGTAATTAGATCTGTGATCGGCTTGCAGCTACCCGTACTCACGCGCATAATCAGCTTCTTGTCTTCTATCAACTCCTGCCGCTTGGCCTCCTTGCGGGCAGCCTTCTTCTCGGCTTTTGTGGGCTTGCGCGGCCCCTCGGACTCCTTGTCCAACTCATTCTGCATTTCCTGCAGATAGTCGGTTGTGATTCGTTTTATCTGGATTTCGGGCTCCCCGCCACCCGTTGGCACGGACATTTTGGTGTATTTCTATTTGAATAACTTAGCGGGAATACTAGTATAAGATTTAATATTGATTTTTTGTTGCTGACAGCCTAAATTTACTCTGTTTCTGATCTGATCTGATCTGAGCCGAACAATGCCAAATCAGACGAGATTGTTCATGTTGAAAGTTATGGCAAAGCTTTCTACAGACCGAGCAAATGAATGCCGTTACATGTGGCCAGGCACTGTCGATTTCCAACACTGACTCCGAGTACTACAACGGGTGGTTGGGTGGTGGAGCTCAAAAGCTCTCTCCGCGCAGCATCTGGAACCTTCATTGCGACGCAACTGTGATTTTCACAGTTAACGGTGAAAGCTTGGCTCGCGAGGTTGTGCATAAATACGTACTACGTACTGGCAAGAGGAATACTTCCCACCCACCTCGCCACTGAAGGCACGCCATCCTGTGTGTGTGTGTGTTTGTTTTTTTTCCCGGCTCCGCCTTGTAAACAAAAATAACTTTGCTTGTGGTGGTGGTGGCGGCGTATCAACCCCCAATAGCCGCAACGGCAACAAAGGCAACTACAAAGCTCGAGTGGCAAGGGCAATACAGCCAGGACAGCCAGCCAGCCAGCCAAGTTTTTCGGGGTTGCAGACAGTTGGCAAACAAGCTGTGAATTCGACTTTAAAAGCCCATAAATATTGAGCAAAAAAATACTCGTAAAACCACAACAGCATTCGCATTCGCATTCGTATCTGTATCCGTGCATCTGTGTATCTCCATCTCTATCGTGGACGTATTCGTGCATTCAAAATGAGCGATGCAAGCGGCTATCAGAAGCTGCCGCCCGGCTGGGACTGCAAATACGATCAAACAACGGGAAATTGGTAAGCTACGGGAGTGCACATACATACATACAAATGTATATACTAAGTATGTACCAGCATACATACATGTCATTCAAAATGTCATAAATATTTATGCCTGCATTAAAAAGAGACAACAAAACGAAGATAAATCTGTTTGTGAGTGGAGAAATGTTATTTTTGTTTGGTTGGTGCTTTGGCGCTTTTCCTCGCGTTCCACCACACGACTGTACCCAGTTTCCCAGCGGGGAAATTTAATGGCCTTTGGCTAGGCAACGGCAACGGCAACGATGGGTGGTATGGTATGTGCTTTCGAGGGATATAAAGTTACTGTAACTGTTGTTTGGAGGGACTTGAAAATGTCAAGTGGCATGAGGATGCTTCCCGAACGGAATGTTTTACGATATACGGTTTACGATAATGTTCTGTTAAGGAGTGCATTGACTGAGGAGGGGTCTTTTTTAAAGCATAAATTAAGGAAAAATCTCCATTAAAACCCTTCAACAATGATACACACATAAAGTTGTTCTGGTACTTTAAAGCCCACTTCTTGTTTACTTGTGCAAAGTCCTCGAGTGTCAAACACATCTCTTCAGGGATACTTGGGGCGCTCCTCAGAAACCCCAATTGGCCTTCTTTTAGCATAGCTGCATAAATTGTGTCACTTCCGCATCGTCAGATGCCCACGGCGGGGTGCACGGTGCTCGGTGCACGGTGCCTCTGCCGCTGACTTCTTTGGCGGCTCTTGTGAAATTAAGCAACAAGCCCAAAGAATGACTGTCATATACTACGTTAATTCAAGTGGCCACTTAGCCAGAGACGACAGCTCGCTCATCTTTTATGCCCACACACACACACACACACCCAGCTGCAATCAGAGGCAAGATTGCCTGCCAAATGTGACGACAACGATGAGGATGACGACTGGGCGTCCGCCTTTTGGCAGCTACTTGGCACGTGCCGGTCTTTAAGAGGAGTCCGGAGCTTTACCCTTTTTCCTTACCTGTCCAAAACTCCCAAAAGTGCCATCAACTTGTGGAGGAAATCCACCACCAAACGAAGCGCCGCCGGCCGGCGGCAGAAATCAACCCTTGGCCTGCATCATCGGGAAGCTTTCGACTGTCCCGACTGTCCCGTCGCTGGGTGGCTGTGGGCAGGAGGTCAGTCGGATGGCCTTTGGTTTGCACTTTTCACTTTTGGCGGAAACTTTGTGTCTCCTAGCGGCCTGTGCCAAGCTCATCTGCCATCTGCCATATGATTGTCGTTGCAGCTATTATATAAACTATCTGACGAAGGCCATGCAGCTGGAGGATCCGCGCGGACGCAGTTACAAGCAGCTGCAGAACGAGCGCTGCTCCACCGAGTCGATAGCCTTGCAGGTGAGAAGAAGGTAAAGTGCAGCTTATTGATTTTCCGCTAAACACTCGCATTTCCAGCAAATGGTCAGCACGGCGCAGACCTCCTCGCACAACAGTTCGCCGTATCACGTCTACCCCAGTCACAGTTTGACGGCTGTCAGGGCCTTTCAGGAGCGCGAGCAGTCCACACTGCACAACATATCGACGAGTCCGCTGCTGTCGGCCTCATCCAAGGGACATTTGGTAAGTGGCCATTGCAGTGCCGTGGGATTCGCATAATAACAGCTGCTTGCCAGGAAATGTCTTCGCCGCTGCCCTTTCAACGCACCCGCCTGGGTGGCAACATGTCCAGGCGCTCGACCATTCAGGAGACCTCATTCACCAACCAAACGGAAGCGGATGGCGTGGTGGCCAAGATCCAGAACATGTTCCCCACAGCCGGCGAGAATCACATTCGCCTGCTGCTGAAGCGGTAAGACCTCCCCGACTGTGCCCCACCCCACGCTTTCATGCTAATCCTCCGTACTTACATCTCTGTCTCTGTCTTCTCTCACGCTGCCGCTTCCTGCACCCACTTAACCCACCGCACACGAATCGCCTCCATTATGTTTCCACGCTTACTAACCCCACCTGCAGCTACTACAATAGCGAGGCCGTCGTCATCAGCGCATTGCAGGTGGAGAAGCATCCGGTGACGATGCCCGGGCCGTTTGTGACGCCACCCGCACAGCGGCATCTGTTCCACAGCAATTCCGCTTTCTATATGACACCACCGGCGCGTCGCCTGGAGATGGCGGCCAGTCGAGGCACCTCTCGCACGGCCAGTCCCCTGCCAGGCGGCCGTTTTGGTAGTCTCATGAGCATGCAAAGCGGTGGCCACTTGGCCCAAGTCCCACCCCCAGGTGCTGTGCCGCCGGCTTTGCATGGATCACCGCAGTGGCGCAGTTCGCCCAAGCCGCACTCGTCGCCCAAAATGAAATTAAGGTTCGCCCCTGGCCGTTGGATGAGCCTCCCCATCTCTCCATTTCGTGTAGTAGCTAGAAGTAGTT